TCTATTTTTATTTTTTACTTAATCTAATGAAATTATTCTTATTTTTCTCAACTTTAATTTTTTATTTTTCAATACAAGATATAGCAATTGAATTTTTCTTTCCTTGAAATTCCTCATATTTTTTTCTATCAATGCTTTTTCATAACAGTAGAGGCCGAGTTGTATAAAACAGTATGGAAGTTTCGTGACGTTCAAATCGCATTTAGAATGAACTACGAATTACTGGCGTTTCATTGTACTGCTGTTCACGCTGAGTAGAATCTCCTTACATGGAGATGATACAAAGGAAAAATTCGTTTTGTGAGGCCAAATTTGACTATTTTGAGGCGCTTCTTAAATTAAGCATCCTCGACGACTGTGATATCATAAGACGTTTATGATGATGAGCTTCGCTCCAGAATAGAAGCTGGAGACGAAGAGGGAAGAATTATCATCAATTTTCATCAGTTAAAGCTAATCTGCAATCTTATTAATCCCTCAAGGTCCGCTATTATTGTTCGACGTCACCATGATTTGCTATCCAAGGCTTCATCTACCGTAGCACTGACTACAGTGAGATCATTCTTAATGACGTCTATCAATCTCTTCCTGGTTGTTCCTTGTCGCTTGTCCACGGCGCTCAAAACCAGTGATTTTCCTATCAGGATATCCTCAAGCCCTCAGTGCGAACGCAATTTCCATTTTTCTTACAGCGACCCCGATAAACTTTTATACTATTAAAACAACATGTAGAGATGAGTGAATGGAGCGCTCAAAACGACTTTCCTGATGCGCGAAAAGGGGTGGGACGGCGGCAATGGAGGTGATTCCCAGCCTCTGATCTATACCTCCTTCATTTCAACTGGACACTTTTCAGACCGAATCGGGCACTATTCTAACCGAATCGGACTATTTCGAATCAAATCGGACACATCCTCTTGCACTGGGCAGTTGACAACTAGACCACACTAGGTACTACTGCAACCCTCGCCCCAACACCACTGCGCCCACTTTTTGCGCGCCCTCTTTTGGTTTTCCAAAAGTTATTTTATGAACTCTGTGCCTCTCACTGTTAGAGGCCCCGCCCACTATCAGAAGCCCGCCCACTTCTGAAAAATGATCCAGATCGGGAGGTGATTGTCCAAACTGTCAGCTTATTGCCTCCCCGTCATTCGGAACAAACTTTCCGTGGTTTTCGTTCCGAGTGAAGACAATTACCTGCCAGCTTGGACTCTGGCCTGCCAATCCGGATCATTTTTGACAATGGGGCGGAGTCGTGACTGTGTCACTACCAGTCTTTCTTCAGTTAGAAGGTCTGTGCGAAGTAGCAAAGGTGCAAAGAAGTCCAATGAATAGAAATTATAAAATGAATTTTGGAAAACCATGACCGCGCTGAAACGTGGGCGGGGTGCTTGGGGCGGGGCTTGCTGCAGTACCTAGTGCGGTCTTGTTGTCAACTGCCTGTGTAGTAGATAAGTAAGTAGTGTAAGTGAGTGTAAGGCGCAGTTCTGATTTGATTTGAAAAGTGTCCGATTTGGTCTGATAAGAGTCTGATTTGAAACGAAAATGGTATATAATTTCCGATGCTGAAGATTTTCTCCTTTGAAGTTATATAATAGCGGGCGACCACCCATAACCATAAAATCTGTGCACCTACATCGCAGTGTTTTTGAGTTGAGGAAGTGATCTCCTCTGAGGAAAATATTCCACCCTTCATTGGAACACCGACAAGATGGTGTGAGGTGGGAGTCAACTGGGGAAAGATTGAACCTCAATGAAATGGCGAATAACGAAACGTTGCCGACAGATGCTTAGGTTTACTCATCTGGTGACATCAGGTGACCAAACATAGCAGCTGATGAGCAAATCTAGCTGTCTAAACCTTGTCGTGGTGTTACCAGGACGTCACTGAAGCCAGTTCCACATGGATTCAGTTCCAAAGAACTGATCGTGTTTATTCGGATTCATACAGAACATATCCAGCTTTCATCCTAGGTATTAGCATGTTTCACATACGCCGGGCTCTGCTCTACTCAAACGCCTTCTTCTTTCCTTATTCCTGCTCAGACTTCCTTTTCGTCATCGTTTTTCCGCGCTATGTTCACAGTTGTGCTAAATGTTCAACCAAGAATTACCTTTTTGTGGATTCGTGACCTGATTAAATAACTATTTTTGCAATCTTGCATTTTTCCGCCAAATTACAGGTCGGGACAGGGGGATGCACCGCAGCTATGCTGCCCTCGTGGCTCTTGCTATGTTGGGGATAATACTCGTTGGCACATTCACTGGTGAGGCTTTCTGTGTTTTTTCTTTAAGATTTGTTATTTCCACTACTTTTCTAGTTTACCGTACTTTGTATTTCACACTCATTGTTCTTTTCATCAGTTGGGAAATTACGAACGCATGGACAGGTTTTCATAGCCTATGCGACCGTAAGGCAAAAGAAATATCAGTTACCAGTTCTTGGTAGTTGCATTATGATTCAAACAATCGTTTCAGCAAATAATGTGCAACTGGAAAGCGAACCGGTACTCAAGGACATCACAGAAAATCGACCAGTTGACTCACTGCGTATTCTGCTCGTTGGCGATACTGGAGGTAAAGATTTCTTTTTGCCGTATTTGTCAAACCAGATTCACAAGCACTCGATAATTTTCTCCAATGACACCTTCTCAATGTGCACATTCATAGCGAATTTGTAAAAACAGACCAGAAAAGGGCACTTGCAGTTGAGGTGGCGCAGCCGGGAGTGCCTTCAACAATCAGGGTTAGCCTAAGTTCGGATTTGTACTCCCCTCAATTCATCAGTTGATGGGGCACAAGCACACTCACTGCCATTTTGCTACATGTGTTTCCAGTTGTTAGCTATGGATTCCCACTGATCCTTTGAAGAAGGCGAGGACCTCTTCTTCTTCTTCTTCTTCTCCCTAGCGTTAGTCCCGCGCCGTCGCAGGGTCCGCTGTTCTTGTTAGACGTCGCCACTTGTTCCGATCCACTGCATCTTCTGCTGTGGCTTTCACTTCAGTGAGGTCCCTCTTGATGACGTCCCTCCATCTTTTCTTTGGGGCTCCTCGTGGTCGCTTGCCCTCTACCTCGAGTTCCAATGCCTTCCTTATTGGGTGGTCTTCGGGCCTCCTCAGTACATGACCGTACCATCGCAGTCGCTGCTCTCGTGCCTTCAGCTGGATAGGAGCCGTCTGTGTGACCGCTCTGACGTCCTCGTTTCTGACTCTGTCGAGTCGTGTCCAGCCGCAGGCCCATCTCAGCATCCTCATTTCAGCTGAGTGGAGCTGCCTTTCATGGTTCTTGCAGATAGGCCAGCACTCACTGCCGTAGAGCATTGTAGGCCTTACCACAGCCCGGTACACCTTGCCCTTGAGCGTTCTCGAGCACCGCCGGTCGCACAGGATGCCAGTGGACTCCCTCCATTTCATCCAGGCTGCGTTGATTCGGGCCATCACCGCCTGGTCCACGCTGCCATCAGCTGCTAGGTTGCTCCCCAGGTACTGGAAATCCTCGACCCTTTCGATGTTCTCGCCATGGCGATCTACGATGACTTCGGCGCACTCTTCGGAGCTTAGGAACTTGGTCTTCTTTACGTTCAGCCGGAGTCCATTCGCAGCGAGCACATCCTGCCACCGCTGCACCTTGTCCTGAAGTTCCTCCCTGCTGTCCACTGAAAACCCTTCGTATTTCCTTATTCCTGCTCAGACTTCCTTTCGTCATCGTTTCAATGAGCGGTGTTTTCCTCCGCTATCAGGGCGATGTCGTCAGCGTAGAGGATGGTTTTCAGTGGTCCCTCCATGAGTTCTTTTGCCATGACATCTAGAGTCAGGAGGAAGAGGAACGGGCTGAGGGCTGACCCTTGGTGTACCCCAACCGTAATGTTTACCTCCTTTGTCAAGCCGTGAGGGGTGCGTACAGCTGCTTTAGCCCCATCGTACATGTCCTTCACTATGGAGATGAGGTGTTCCGGAACGTTACGTTCTCTGAGCGCTCTCCAGAGTACAGGCCTTGGCAGGCGGTCGAATGCCTTCTCAAGGTCCAGGAAGGCTAGGTAGCAGGGTCGCCGCTTCTCTCGGTACTTCTCCATCAGCTGTCTGGCGATGAAGATGGCATCGGTGGTGGACCTCTCGGGCATGAAGCCGAACTGTTCCTGCGAGATAGGGACAAGTTCCCTCAGCCTAGTGTTGACCAGGCGCTCGTACAGCTTCATGGTATGGGGAGTCAACTTGATCCCGCGGTAGTTGGAGCACTCCGTCGCGTCCCCTTTCTTTTGAAGATGGGAACGATTGTGCTGCTCCTCCACGCATTCGGCATCCTTCCTTCAGCTGTTACGTTGTTTAGGAAGTGCGTGAGCCAACTCACCCCATGCTCTCCAAGGGCCTTCCATGCCTCTATCGGTACCCCGTCTGGACCCACTGCTTTCCCAGCTTTCATTCTCCCTAGCTCCCGGCGAACTTCATCCTTCGTCCAGGGAGTGATGGGACCTGCCGTCGCCTCTATCTGTGGGCTATCCTTGCGAGGGAATTCTTCGTTCAGAAGTCCCTCGAAGTATTCTTCCCACCTCTTCCTGACTTCGGCTGGTTTCCTGAGAATGGCCCCGTTGCTGCTCTTCACAGTCTTTACGACCCTGATGTCCTGAGCTGCGCGATGCCGAGCTTTAGCCAGGCGGAAGACGAACTTGTCCCCTTCTCGGCCTTCCAGCTTGTCGTACAGGGCGTCCATTTCCGTATTCTTGGCCGCCTTAATGAGCTGCGTTTTCCTCTGGTATTTTTGAGCTGCGGAATTAGTACATCCTCCATCCTTGTGAGAAGGACTACCATATCCAAAGAGAGCACGGGAACACAAAATGAACGCGGGCTCCTGTTTTTAAAGGCAGTTGGCACGATGATTCTGGTGCTCGCATGAAATGCCAGTAGCGCGCATACAGGGGGGGGGCAAAAAAAGTCACTTCGACCGAGTCACATATCAGCAAAGTTTTCGCTGCCCAGACAGAGGACGTGGATACGAGTACCAGGGCGGAAGATACCAAGATGTTCCTCTATAAGCAGGAGCTGGCTCTCGCCCATCACCTTCATGTACACCAAAATATGAAGTCATCTCCAGTCGCAGCCTGACTGGAGAAGACCTTTGGAATTCATGTCACCTCCAAACAGCTGCGAAACTTCTAGTATGGAGTCACCCATGGATAGCTACCTGGAGACAGTACTCTCGATCTGGATGACCTCCAACATCGAGCAGCTCCGACAACGTCGCCACGGTCTAGGACATCATCTTCACCACAGTCGCCAAGGCGCGGGTTGATGGTATGGACCGGACGTACCTGGAATGGAAAGACCAATATTTTCTTCGTGGACCCGGACTGAAGGTGAGCGCTGGCGGTTACATCGAGCAACTCGTGAAGAATATCCTCCTCACATGTCGTCGCCCGTACCTTCTTGGAAACTTTGTACTGCTACAGCATTGGGTGCCACCACATGGAATCGAAGGGCGTTGGAGAAACTCTCGCCTACTTGGAATGGAAGGGGGCTGAGTACCTAAAGAAGATGGAATATAAGTAGTCACCTGACCTGAATCCCCTCAATTACCCGGTTCGGGCGGAGTTCAATAGGGTGGTCTACGGTGGCGGAGAAATCGACTATCTCGCTGATCTCAGGCACCACATCGCGGTCGCGTGCCAGAATCTCTCGATGGCGCTCGTCCAGAAGGCTGTGGCGGAGTGTCATGATAGTATTTGATATGCTCTTTAATATGGTGGTAGAAATGTCCGATCAGAAATTTATAAAGTGTAACTTATAGCGCCTCGAAAGTCAATGAAGAAAAGTGACTTTTTTGCCCCCCCCCCCTGTATAGTGGGGAAAATGGCGAAAGAACGGAGTGAAACAGTAATAATCTTGCGAAGAAAGAGCCTCCGTCTCAATGTGTTAGAAATCAATTTTGGACGAGTTTCCGTAGGCATCTTGCCAATAACCGCTACCGAAGGTACGGCTGCATATGTGTACTCATATATCCATGCAGCATCACGGCCGCTTCATACCAATCCCTTCGCTTCATAATTTGCTTAGCAAATGAATCGATTAGAGCGTCAGGAACGGTCGTCCATTTGTGGGCGGGCGACGTGACGGCGTTTGGGTCGGTATGTTGTGGCTTGATAGGGCCCTTATAGGCACCTCCCTTGGAAAAGGCATTATGCAGCGCCTGCTCAGGGTCGCGGAATTCCGTCCTGCCAGGCGTATTAATCCTACTCGTCTTGGGGGATTTATCGTGCCAACTGCCTTTAAGGAAGCGTTACCGATTGAATTGCTCTATCTTTGCGAATAGATATCATCTCCGCTCACTTGGTTCCACTTTAGAGACAACTTCCGCGATCAAGTGATCAGCGAAATGCTTTCGTGCATTTAGGCATCGTTGCCCGCACTCGCAGAGAATATACCACTTTCGTCTCTCGAAGTGGCGAGATAACGAAGTTAGAGACGCGTGAGTTTTGCAACCGGTGCAACAGCGTACTGTAGCTGTGCGAGACAACGGCTCACAAGCGGAATTGCGTGTGTACATAGCGTTGCCTGGAGCGTCGTAGGGCGATTTCCTATGCTCTTGCCGGCAACTGGCTGCACTACGAATCCCGCTGATTGGGCTTGTCCGCATGATGTACTCGTCTAAGGCGCTGGCCCCACTGCTAGGGGTCTGTGCTCAGAGTAGACCCAAACTTTTTTCGCTTCTTTCTCGGCTGATGTTTTTGATGGGCTGCTGGATCATGACTGAGCTCCTGCTACCTGTTACACTTGATTGCGGAAATTGTTTTAAGTGAAGTTTTGGGAAGAATACAGGAAGGAAAAGGTGAAAAAGGTATAGGGGTGAGTAACGCCGCAAGAGTTCATTAAGGAGTGCGTACGCCGGGAGATAAACCATGGAGCGGTGCCCGCCTGGGTCAACGAAACCTTCCATGCAGAGGGGGTAAGTGGTACCACGCTTGTTTTGAACTCATCGGTCTTGCACATGAGAAGGTGCACAAGTCGCTGCATAGGTCAGATCACATTCAGCATGCTGCCGTGAGTCCGAATGGAAGCAGAACGCGGATCGCGTCCTTATAAGAGAACGTTTGACGTCAAAAGTCTTTAGAAGCTCTACAGAAATAAGTTGATAGCTCGTCAAAACAAAAATAACAGCCACTTGCGTACTATTTCCGACTGCAACCCATGGACACCTGTTTCGATTGTCCTGTGGGACTTGGAGATACTGAAGGGGAAGCTGAAGCTTTCCGCTCTCACGAACTCTTTTTGGAACGCGTCACGCATGGGACTTTGATTCAGAAAAAGATGGCACTTTCAATGCGTTTTGGTACCCACAACGACTTGCGGGGGCTAACAGATACACCACTGCATCCCCTCCCAGATAAACATGGTGCCATTCAACAGATCTCGGAATAATGGAGGGTTTGAATGGCCTTATAAAACCCCAACCAAAACTCGACTATCAGGTTGTGCGCGTAGTTGCTGCTGCCACCTGCTCCTGCACTGTCTAACTTATAGGCGAATATCCTGATGATTGTTGCATGGTTAATCCGATTATGGCCGTCAGAACGTCTACTGAGACCATTTAAGGGCTGCCCATCTACCCATATGTTACATATGCGCAGAAGAAGGTCGCCAAAGCGATGACGAACGTAGCCATCGAAAAGAAGGTGCAATACGTCTTGAATCTCGGCGACAACATCTACTTTACAGGCGTTTCAAATGAACACGATACACGATTCCAGGTCGGTCGATTACTTCAGCAGTTCGTTCAACAAAAGATTTAGAAAGCAGTACTGGGACAGTTCGGCGACGGGAGGGGGGCATTTTGCGCTTTTGCTACAGCACATCAACGACCGATCTGGACAACCTCTTCTCGAGTTGACAGGTTTTACCATGATGGCTTGACGAGCTTGCTCCAGCTTCACAAGAGTTCACAGGTTTCACCAAGTGAGACTTGTAAAGCGGAACTAGTGAAGCAACGAAAATGCAAAATGCCCCCTCCCCATCGCCGAGCTGCGCCAGGAGTAGCTAAGCGTTTCTACCAGCTTGATGGAACGAATTTCCAAGACGTGCAAAAAAGCTTGAAAAAGGGGTTCAGACTACATTCGAAGATGTCTACAATACGGATGCGCTGAATGTGCCATGGTACCTGATTGCCGGAAATCATGATCATTTTGGCAACGTGAGCGCCCAGATTGCCTACTCGAGATACAGCCGGAAATGGTTAGTTTAACAGTTCACGAAACCTTCCCCGTTTTGGTCGCATTATATGAAGGTACCATTATCTTTCTAGTCTGTCTCTGACGGTATGAAATAAGGGCACAGTTTGGCTTGGAGGGGATGGGGCCATTTTGCTGATTCTGATCGACTACTGCCGATGTTCTCTGCGGAGGCCTGTGAATCTCTGTCAAGCTATATAATAGCAGGAGCGTCATTCACACTTGTGAAGAGTCTACAGGTCGCTCCCTGATTAGTTAACAGGAGGCAACCAAAGAAACTGGCAAAAGAGCAAAATGCCCCTCTCAACCAGAACAGCGTCAAAGTATATAAACTGATGAGAAAATCAATGAAATGTTAATGAAACGGAACATGTTGAAGGTTACTTTTAAGGCACTTCCCTGACTTGTACTTACAAGCTGTCATTCCACCTGAAGAACGTGTCCATAGACGTTCTGATGTTGGACACCATCGTACTTTGTGGGAACACAGCTGATATTGAGAACGGAGGCTTTTTCGATATGCTCTGGAACAAGTCACACGATCCCGAGGTGAGCTTTGGGAGATTCAATTGTGAAGACTGTGTGATCTGAGTAGGACTAGAATAAATCCTTGTTCGCAGCATATGATGCGGCCTGTCAGTAAGGCTGGGTTTAGCGCGAAGTCAGCCCATCCTCCCACTTTTTGAAGCGGGTGAGCTACGATAACTAGTGGAGAACGACTACGAACGATATGGCACAGTCCTGTCGCTGCCGAAATGAAAAAAAAGAAAAACGGGCCGGAGTGCATCAGAACCTTCAACACATCATATTATCCGCATTGAACAAGACTGTACAATATTGTCTGCAGTCTAGTGCTCCCCATCCCCCTATCGCCGCCTTTACCGCTTTTCACCGGGCTAGCTGTATCGCCATGAACACGCGTGTGGCAAATTTGGTCACCCTTCCTTCATGACACCCTCTATCAGCGCTTATCACTTGTTACCACCTTCTATTATTGACTGTGAATGTCTCTGTCACAAATATTATGTTGAGTTTGTTCATGAATAATGGAGTTTTTTTTATCAATCGATGAATTGCTCTAAAAGTGAGCAGTTTTGCTACTGGATTCAACAATGTTTTGCGAAGAATTCCTGCGACAATCTTCATAGTTTTTCTGAAGTCTCTGTTTTCATGATTTAAGCGCTCAAACTGGAGTGTCAGGTTGCCGAAAATGAGCATTTTCGACAACCTGACACTCCCGTTCTTTTATCTATTTTATCTATAATCAAAAGCTAAAACAGCACAGGCACATTTGCTAAGTACATGGCCAAGAAGGCTTAACACACGTTGAGCGACATTTCCAAGTGGCAGAGCGACGCCCACCTTCTTTGCCGCGTGGGACGTTGGTACCACGTCCCAATGTTGGGATGCAGCATGCGGTACAAATTACCAAAAGACGCTTTCAATTTTTCAAACAGCTATATATTGTCCAGGGTGAGCGTGAGAACCCATACATTTAGCTGCAAAGCACCGCAGTTCTGTGCCCAATGGCGCAGTATTTCACGGAGGAGACAAAGCGAACAAGCTGTTGACTTTCCCCTTAACAAAAAAAGGTAATTTTTGATATATAGCTGAAGCTCTACATGCAGATAGCTAACGTGATAAAGTAACTTTCAACAATAGCAGATCTGGACTAAATCAAATTTACCCCTGTGACGCGAAAAAACTCCTTGTTTGCGACCTTCTTCCCACGTTCGACTTGTATGAGGCGGAAGTTCCCCATGAAAATTTTTAATTTATTTTAATTTATCTTGAAATAAGAGACAGCGAAGCCTTACTACCCTCCCCATGCATTAATTCTAGTCCTTGTACAATTGTTTTGGTGTATAAACGCCCCAGCATTTATGCGCATTTTTCGAAAATAGGGAAAACTGCTTGGTCCCACGCGGCAGACACACGAAAAGGCGCCTTTGTCGCCCAATAGTCTTCAACTCTTCTTAGGTTTATTTCTTATTTGATTGGCGGCTGGACCGGCTTAGCGCTCCAAAGAATCCAAGGTCTTAAATCTCAGCAGACTAACCATCGAACCTAACGGCTTATTGAGTCCAACTGAGAGCTCACTGAATCAACTTATTCATGGAACTTCTCACCAAGGATGAGGAATCGTTATGGGTCATGGAACGCTCCCTCATCACTATCACATAACGTGATTTAGACGATCTAAAATTAGTGGGCAGGTTCTGCAGGCAGTCGGTCCCCAGAAAATGTACCCCATGTAGTGCACGTTTACAAGGCCGAAACCCCACCTCCTGCCCTCACCATCGCTCCCTCGCAGCGCCAATTTCGAGCTGCCAATATCACCTCTCCCTATCGTACGCTCCTGGCATATTGCCCTAAGTTTCAAGCTTACTTCTGTAGTTGAGAGCCGAGATATAAGTGCCAAAAAATTCGTTGTCAAAAATCACTTTTGTGTCGATACGACATTCCACTTCAATGGAATAAAAATTGATGGAAGTCAGAACCAATACGAAGGCAGCCGTACTAACTTATAGAGCAAAAAATTATCTATCGAATGACATAGAGCTCAATGGAGACGCTCCTCACTTTTATATATAAAAATCTGCGTAAGAAAAAAACGCCATTATTTATGGGTGAAGCCCAATCTTGGTTAATTGAGGCTATTTTTTCTGTTTCAAATCAGTTTTATAAACCTGCCGCCCTTCCCGGTCGGCTTCATTCGTCTTCCAAAACACACTCAGCTGGGAAATATCTTATGTTGAGAAGATATTTCCCAGCTGAGTGTGTTTTGTGCTGAATGTTATCTTTCACACAAATATTTCCAATTACACTCGCGAGCCGCAACACTATCTCACAAGGGATTGGCTCCTCAGACCCCACTAATCACCTGATGACTTCTTCATAGTTTTTTAATCCGTAGTTCATCATCCAAAAAGGCGGTAGTTTTGCACAATAGGTTTCACTCTATGCGTGAAATCTAAAGATGGGTTAAGCTCGGCCTTCAAACACAGTTGCAGACGACTATCGTGAAGTTTATAGGGACCCACCGATGTGGCGAAGGCTGAGCTGCAATGGAAATGGATTGCGGAAACATTGAACTCTAGCAGGTGAGTGAGAGATCCCATTCAATACTATGCATTTTTACGTAACTTTTATGGCCAACCGCCAATCGGGACCTGTTCACTGAAGAAGATGACAAGTAACTGTTTTTAGAAACGCATACAAAGTAAGTGGGAACCTCAACACAGTTGAAGAGAAGCATAGGGAATATATAACAAAAAAGCTTCGATTTCATGGAAAAAAAACCAGCCCTTAGCCGAACCAGCGAGAATTGTGCAGCTTGACTCTTGAACAGAAAGTCCCAATAGTAGCGAAATCGTACTCGTAATCTGAGTACTTCGGCTATGGGGGCCTCGATCGTTGGAAACACCGATGTTCAAAGTTTTCTTTTTCAGCGCAGACTATCTGTTCGTCGCTGGTCACTATCCGATTCACTCGGTTTCGTCACATGGACCCACTCGATGTCTTCAGGAGAGACTGGATCCAATGCTGAGGGCATTCAACGTTTCGGCCTATTTTGCTGGTCATGATCATACATTGCAGGTAGGTACTTCCTAGACACAATCTGTTCTTGCGAAGCGAAGTGGTGTAGTGGCAAGAGGCACCTCTACTTCGCGCGCGGTCTGCGTGTCGAACTCCAGGTGGGCTCCCGCCCACGCCAATCGAGCCTTCTACCCTCCGGGGACGGTAAATTGGTACCAGATTGTCTGGGAGGAAAGAACACTGACTTGTACATCGGACTGGCCCCGCAAATAATTTTGCAGGCAACAACACTAATGATTTATTGGCGATTAAAGGCACGGTCCGCGATCAGGTATCGAAGTTAAAAATATGGCGTCAGGAGGTTAGAGTGGTCCGCAACGATGGTGCGACGATGGTCCGCGCATGTTTTTTGTGCTTTTTTTGTTCACAGTCGAGTTACTCAACCCCTTGTCGTCTATATGGAACCCCCTAATCCACCATCTGAGATGGCGAGTAATCGCGGGTTCTTCCTTTAAGGGAGCGGAAGGAGGCCGTTAAAAAGTCTCATACGAAGCCTGGTTGATTTTTGGCATGTGGTGAACAGAGGAGCGAAAGCGGTCAAACAATCGCGGGCTAGAGCCGGAGACCACACGGAGCGGTCAAATAGGCCAAGCAGCGGTCTTATGCTAATTATGCTCATGACTCTCCTACAGAAGGAGAGTTCTTAGGGGACGGGGAATCGTATTTAGCGAAAATTCTCCCCCACGTCATGAAGTGACCTGTAACTCATACCATTGTGCTAAGCCTACCACGGACAAGCGAACAAACGCTTTCGACTCGCTGTAATGTATAACTGAATGTTTCAATTTCAGCATATTGTGTATCCCGGTAATGGTAAGCACGTCATTCATTATGTGCTCTCTGGAGCGGCATCACGTAGCGACCGATCGAAAAAGCATATGTTCACCGTCAACGGGGCAAATCTCAGATTCCGGTAGGATTTATGATTGTCTGTCACCTCTTCAATTGAACAGAACAAACACAGAACCAAAATTTCACTGACATTGAAGTTTACTGTAGGTAGGTAACTAGTAACTTTGGCTGGAGAAGAGAGATCTGTATATCGACAAAATAATGCTTTTATTTTCATAGTAATGCTTGGATTTTTCAGTTACCCCTCCTCATGGAACCCGCTCTCTCAACTCGGCTTTTCCAATGGCGGGTTTGTTCTGATGGATATCACAGCGAAACAAGCTCATCTGTTCTTCTACAACGGCAAAGGAGATATCAAATATCGTTTCTCCATCGATCCCAGATATGGTGACTAGTTTCCTTTCTCTGTATGAGTCCTTCAAGGAATAATCGATCAATACGTTGTAATTTTACTGTTTCTCTAGCGATTCCTGTAAATAGCAAGGGGGTTGCTAGAAGTTTGTAATTGGTGGTGTAGTGTATCCAAAGCGAACTCCGCGCATAGGAACACGCAATATCACAGTTCATATTTCGGCTCTGGAAGAGTGTTCGCGGACTCTGATGCGGGTGGGGGGGGGGCAACAACAAACCATTGCCGTTTCATTGACTTTTTGCACCACTCTCTCACTTCTTTATGCACATACTGTCTACATCTTTACAACTATGCCCTGCTGACGCGCTCAAAAAGATGTCCGTGGGCACTCCCCAACGCCTATTTGTGAACTGCACAACGTATGATGGAGTCGTGATTGCGAGGATTAGCGAGACTTTTTGTCTACTACGCACTTGCTGCTGTGATATTCGTCATTATTCGTCATATTCGTCATTTCGTGTTAATCCTAGCAAGTTTCATCTAACGCTGCGCTCATACTTTGAGGCTGCGTCTACCAGTGTTCCAGCAGCGTCAGCGACTAGGAAAGTGTGGATAGATCTGTTGCCTGCCAGCGACCAGCGCGTTTAGAGGGCTATGGAAGCAAAGGTATCGTACCTAACGTCTGCCACCGTCCACCAGCGAAAAGTAGCGTCAGGGAGTGGAGAGATGGGGCGATTACCAGCTGTCTGCTACCCTCCTGTCGCGCCATACTCTCTACCATCAGTCTTACCCTCCTATCTCCCCATACTCCATCAACTGTCTGTACCCTCCTATCGCCGCTTACTCCCCACTCCCGGACGTCGCTGGTCTCTGGTAGACGCTGACATACGCTAGACTATATTTCCTTAGTCGCTGACGCTGCCGGACCCTTGGAACGTTGGTGGACGCTACAGATCGCTGGTGGGTCCTGCCACAGAGTATGAACGCAGCCTAAGGGTACTTCACTAGAATTTTCCAAAACGGTCAATCGTTTTGGTAGCGATCACAATGCGATCTCTTGTTTCTGTGACATTCTAGCTTTAGTTAACCTCATATTTCTCACCTCTTCGAAAAGGCCTGGGCTTCAGTCTTGTCGAAGGGTACGGGAAATATTGATGCTTGAACAACCTATCATGCTTTCCCTTCTAACTTTCTCATTTTATGAATCATATTGCAACTCGTCGCTTTCCTCACCTGATTCCTTATCTTCTTCCTTTTTACTGTTTCCTTGTTTTCCTAAACTGTTAGGAGATCGCTGATTTTATTCTTTATGTGTTGATTTCTTCTTCGAAGAAGCATCTCTAATTGTAAGTGCCGTGTACTCTTTACTGGTTGGATTTAATCTATGAAGAATAAATATATGTAAACATATCTCGCTTATGAGAAATCGACTCCGAGGAGTTTCGCCTGAAAGATGCGGGTGGACCAATCTTGGCAGGAAAACGGTTTGACACGCCTGTTGTGTCATGAATTCGTCTCTAAGCGGCGTTTTATTGGATTGATTTGGCTTTCCCTTTATGTTCCGCTGTTGTCAAAACACATTCTTGCTTAGTAGATACTACCTCATAAACCAATGAAAAAATGAAGGAAATTACTGATGAATTACTGATGGAAAATGATAAAATGATCCAGAGATGCGCGCAGTACAGCGGTCTGCAATGTGTTAAGTAAATCTTGTAACATTTCGTGGCTTTACAAGAGTTTATTAGAGCTTATAAAAATACTTCTTCTTCTTCCAGGCCGCCTTTCGCTGAGTTTTCTTATATTTTATGCGAGTCCGTGAAGAGATTTTATTTATTATTAATTTATTTGTTTATTTGTTAGCACAGCGTGGCGTGCACTCGACAGCGAAAACACAACCGTTAGTAAGACAAAAAACAAAGGAAGAAAGAAACCGAACACGGAAGAAACAAACAAGCAGCTAGGTAACCGAACAATGATAGACAGGAGATGAGAGGAAGGACTTTGTCTTGATTTCCCGGAGTCACCAAAAAAACACTATGAAGGCCATCAACGTTAAGGTTTACTCTTGGTGGAGCTTCTAATTGCTCTGCATTTTGAGTTTCCCTACCTGAAGATCTCTTGTATTCATCACCCGGTGGCTGCATATTTCGAGTGGCGTGTACGTGCCAAAGCGAGCGCTCGGAGACATAGTCCACGATGTCACAGGTGGACAAAACCCAGCTCTTCAAAGTCTACAGTTGTTAAAGAAATAAGAGACCACATTGATTCAAAACTACTACAAGACCGCTCACCGTGCAACGGATGGCGTCCGTGGACGGCCACAAATTTCTGGCAACTTCAGACAGAACTCGCTGTTGTTGTGTAAATCGCAACGGGGGTTGGGGTGGCATTTGACCGCGAAGGAAGGGGTCATAAGCGCAGGGCTCATTCAGAAGTGGGTAAGGCAGCAATACCGA